CTAGCCACGCGCGAACATACTAAAACTATCATTTTACAAAATCCAATATAATGAATTTTTGATTCCGCTCTTCATTAAATAAATTATTCGTATTTAGAAGTAATTAGAATTAAGAGATAATCAGAAATTCAAGTATCTATACTTCGACCATTTTATAAATTTCTGCGGGTAAAATATAGAGCCCGACGAAAGCGTTGGAGCATCGACGAATTAGCTTTCGAATTTGAAATTGCGCAGTGTATAGAACGTAATCGGTTCGCGGGTCGGTGCGAAAATTTTCTGCGCTGCACGAGCCGCGGCAGGAGGAACGACGTCCAAGGCGAGGCGACGTTGGTCGGCAGTCATGACAACATGACGTCAACCGGCCGTGTGTTATTTTCGAAAGGGGACTCGAGCATTGTGCCGCCTGCTGGCGAGATCGCCAACAGCGGGAAACAGCTCGAAACGTCGACGGGGAACGAAGTCGCATCGCGCTATCACGCCAAGAAATAACTTAGCGATATACGACGTATTATAATTATTAAACGCAACTCCGTCGACGTTTAAACGGAAACCGAATGACCCTCAGGAATCGTCCTTATAGATTTTTTACTTCTGGCGCAAAGACAACAAAGGTAGCTTCCGAATCAGCTTGGCGCATCATTCGAAATTCTCTATAAAAATAATGGAGTTGAATTCCATTGGCACAACTTAAAAGATCTGTCAATGAAAATTTTGGAAACTGAGCGAACTTCATCGACACAAATCTGTGAGGCATTGAAACTCGAAAAGGTACGAAGAGTTCGTACAATTCCGACATAAAAAATCGTCAAACGTTTCCCGTTTAAACATGAATTATGCAATCGTTGAATTTCGTTACACGATGTGACGCAAGAATCGAGTCCCGAACGCGACACGCGGTGGTTTCTTCGAATGCGAGAAGTATGAGTTTTGTTCTCTGTGCTAACGATCCTGGAAACTGACCGTCGATCCGAACGTACGTTCCGCTCGTTTTAAAACGGTGTAAAGTCCAAAGCCAGATTAATGCTGCGCTATCTCGCCGAGCGGATAAGATTGCCGGGGAGCAGAGACTCGGGCCTCAAGGACTACCGCAAATCGCGCGCTAGCGCGCGCGCGCGCATCGCGAATTTTCGAAAACCTTGCGTCGTTCTTACGTTTTACGAACGATTTTTGAAACTTACGTTAATTACGTGAAATACCGGTTTAATATTACAATCACGGAAATGAATTGCTCGAGGATACGGAAGCAAGACATTTTCAGAAACGTTTTTGTTCTACTTAAACGAAAATTCCGATCCCTGAAGAGCCAACCGTTGGATCGTTGACCCAGTTTCACGGTGCGCACGCGACGCAACATTTGCAGCCGCGAAAATACGAATAGTGGAGCACCCATGGGTATACGCAGCGCGAGCAGAGAAGTAAATACGCAGAACGCACACTCGCCCGTTGCGTTACCCCGTGTCCTTTGTGCAAACGTACATACCGGCCATGTACAACGATAAATGCTAGCCTATATACGTGGCTCTGGCGAGAAGGAGGAGAATCTACGCGCACTGCTCGGCCCTACATTCGCGGGGATGAATAAAGAAAGGTCTCCGAAACAGGAGGGTCGCTTCCCCTATAGGAATGGTTCTCACCCTTGGCACTGCTCGACGAAGGGAAACCATGGGGTGGCCGGCTTCCCTTTGAACGGTGCCGAAGTTGAGAACCGGGGACACGTAATCTGGTAGGGTGCCCGGCATCTGCGGTGCCCCGAACGAAGGGTTCCGCACCCCGAGCTCGGAGAATGGAGGGCGGATGAGGGGTAGGAAAATTGGGAGAACGAAGAAACGGAAATGTACTCGGCTTCTTAACGTCCTCCTCTCCGAACGTTAAAATAAAGAGATCGAGAACGAAGATCCGATGTTTCAAACCATCCCTCTCTCTCTCTCTCTCTCTCTCGATTTCTCGATGACTCTAGTTTAATTGGTTTGGGAGGCTTTCTTCCCTCAAATAAATATCTTCGGGGCGAAGGCTTTTTAATGTCCAAACAGCGAATTAATTTTTGAATTCTCAATTCACTTTACTCTCGTAACAACGTAATGTGTATGTATACGAATTATCATGAGTCTTATTATAATTCCGCAATTTCTGTTGTTACGCGTTTGGTGGAAAACAAAATTTCACACGTTTCCGAGTTGTGGAACGAGTCTCGATAAATCGATATCGTCGGAAAAGCGAGGCCTGTTCGAACTTCATTTAAATCGGCAAAACTATTCCATCGCATGCCAATCCGTCAGGCACCCCGCGGGAAACCGCACAACCCCTTTGCGAGGCAAAAATAGAAATTGTACCGTTCAACTCGATATCTAAAAGAAGATATTGCAATTTCTGAACTCCGAATTTAAATACCAGCCGACTCTGTCCGGCGTTGCAACATAAAACCTTCCACGGTATCCCAGAAAACAATATCATCTTCCTTAAAGGACGTCCCTATCTATTAGTCATATAAGGAAACAAG